ACCTGGGTCATTGCGGGAGATGTAGTCTGCGGAGACTGGATCAGTCGATAGCTTGGGACTGAGAGTGAAGGAACGCACCGAGAAGCTGAATGAGGAGTGGTCGCTCCGCCTTGAAGAGCGCGAAAGTCGGCGATCCTTGGTGCTGGCGGACTTGCTGGTCGAAGCCGGTCGGGAAGTCGGTGAAGAGATTGCGAACGAAAACCTTGGACGACGAGCCTTGGTGTTCGACGGGAGTCGGGTCGTCGATATCGACTGCGAGCAGGCGAGACGTGAGTAAATCGCGCAGCAGGGCTCGACGCGACTCGAACGCACCGTCATGCCAGACACGAGCGGCAGCGCAGACGATCTCGCGCTTATTCTCCTTGAGGTGGACGACCGTTCGGCTGCTCAAGCTGAGCACCGTGAGTCGGGGAACGTCCTTCGGGGCGGTCGCGTCGGAGCTGGAGAACGGCGAGATGTCCTTCTCGTCGACTTCGGCCTCGAACTTGGTCCATGAGAACTGAGGAAGCGAAAGGCGCGAAAGGGGATCAGCGGGTGAAGCGGCAAGAGGGAAGAAGAGCCCAACGAACCGCATCGCCCTTGTTGGCCTTGGGCTTCGAAATGTTGAGCCAGCACGGACCCATGATCTTGTGGGCGACGACGAAGCGCTCGAAGGCGGTCGCGGTCGAGCCGAAGACGTGCGAGTACTGCTCGCCAGCAGCGTCGATGGGAATGTCGGACTCGTTTCGCTTGCCGGCTGCGACGAGATGGACGGTCAGCATACGAAGACTGTGTGTAATAGAAGGCGACGCACCAGGGAAGTCGCAAGTGACCTCGAGCCAGTTCGTCTTCTTCCGCGGGACACCCATGATGCCGAAAGCGTACCGCCGCTTGACGTAGCCCTGCGTGCTCGAAACGTTCCGCAGATTCCACTTGCCCTTCGCATCGTCGAGGAAGTCGCCCTCGACGTCGTCAAATGGCAGCTCGTCGTCCTCGTCGTCCGAGTCATCCTCGTCGACCTCGCCGCCGTAGTCTGCGAGCGGGGACGTCAGCTCGAGCAGCCACTCGATGAGAGCCTGAACGCACACTCGGCCTTGGTCTTCGGGAGAACGTAGAGCTTGCGCTTGATGTTCTTGACGACGACCGTCGCGCTGACAAACTTGGGCACGTCCTTCTCGACCTTCTTTCCGTCCTTGATCGGCGCGACCCTCGTCTGCTCGTTCTTGACGCGAACCTTGCCGACGAGGCGGACCGTGCCGGGCGCAGGCTCGTCGTAGTCGAACCACCAGAACTGAAGCGAGCCGTCTGCTTCGAGCGCATTCGTCTGGTGAGCCGGCGCCCGCATCGCCGCCGAGCTGATGGCGGTCTCGTGCTCCTCGTTGAACGCCGTCGAGTCGCCCGTCGCCTCAGCGGACGCGACGATGGGAGCAGAAGCTGCTGCGAGAGCGGAAGTCGCGGTGCGCTAGTCGACACCCTTGCGCTTCGACTTCATGTCCTCCGCCATCTGGCTTGGCGAGGCGTTGTCGACCGGCTCAGCCTTCGGCTTGACGGGCTTGATGGCAGAGGCGTTGACGATTTGCCGTCGCTGCGCCGGACCCTTGGGCTTGGCCGCAGCGGCAGTCGGCTCGACGAACAAGTCGTCGTCGTCCTCCTCCATCTTGACCTGCTCGTTCGACTTGCTCAACTCTTCGAGAGGTTCAACTGAGGGGAAGTTGTCGAAGAACTGCCGGCCCATGCCACAGAGGTCATTGTCGAATTCGTCCATCGCGGAGTCGAAACGAGTCTTCTCGACACCGTCGAAGCCGTCGCTCGATGGTGCGCCGATAAGGAAAGGGTCAGATGCTGGGTCGGAAGCGACGTCGGAGGAGGGGGCGAAGTGGTTGGTTGAGCGGGAGAGCTGGCTTTGAGGTCGTTCTGCAATAGAGTGTCAAGGTCAGCTCGAGATAGCCCCTAATGACCAAAGTGAACGCACCATTCTCGTGATCGTCATCGTCGTCGCGCTCGCTCGCGCTGCGGTCCCAGTCGTCCATGCCGTCGTCCGCATACCTGCTCACGCCGTCGTCCTCCTCGTTAAAGTCGTCCTCCGTGAACCGTCCGCGCGCAACAGAGCGATACACGTCCTCCTCGACCTCGTCATACACCGCTTCTTGCTCCTTGAGCTGTACGAGAGCGTGTCGAGATGGTCAGCCGAGCGCGACGAGGAGCAAGAGGAGGGAAGAAGAGAGCGCACCTGGCAGTCGCGCTTGCCGGACTCGCGCGCCTTCCTGAGTGCCTCCATGCGCTCTCGCGCAGCCCTGGCAGACGACTTGGCGGACGACCGGGCGGGAGGAGCGCTTCAAGCCGCGGTCGGGACAAAAGAGGGGACGCGACGAGGGTAGGCCGTAGGAAGACGAGGGCGTTTCGCGGCGGTCGACTGACTCTTGTATGACCAGCAGCCGCATCAGCGAAGCTTTGCAAGCGTAGCGCAGACGGGAGTCGGAGGCAAGACGAGGAAGAGGGACGCAGACGGCGGTATAACGACGTCGAGCGCGTCTCGAGTGATGCGCGGAGGGCGGTGATGCGTAGAAAGCAGGAAGAGAACAGGTAGAAGGCGCTAACAGGTAATAATTCAATGTCTATTTTTTTTTTGTATGCATGCGTTGCAAGGCCATAGCCCGGGCTCGACGGCCCATCGCGCGAAGCGCAACTACAGGGGCAGCTCCTACACACTAAAGGCGCAGTACGCTCAGTCCTGAAAGGCTAAAAGAGAAGAAGAGGGCGAAGGCGAGGAGAGAGTGAAGGACCCGCCAGGATCCGAGAGGGAGGCCTACTCGAGGCGGACGGCGATGGCTGAGAAGGCGCGACTTGCAAGAGTACCGGCTGACGGCGACGTCTGAGTGGGGTTTGTCGGCCGTATGCGAGCCCAGCGAGCATCGACGAGGGTCTGGAGGCCGACAGCGACGATGGCGCGGAGGAGAGGTAAGGACGAGGCGTCCGTGACGGCTGTGAGAGTGGGTAGGCCGAGGAGGAGCTCGTCAGGCGCCAGAGTCGTCGTCTTCATGTAGTCGCTGATGTTGTGGGCCAGGAGGAAGACGAGTGCCGTCCAGTACGACGAGGAGAAAGCGCAGTCGAAGAGGGCGTGGGTGAGGGACTCGCTCAATCCGCAGAAGACGCATCTGTCGTCTGGAGCGAGGCCCATCTTGAACTGCCGTCGACGAGTCGTAACCGCGCCTTGTAAGATCCTCCAATGCGTGTCCGCCTCCCGCGGAGTTGCCGGTCGTCGACGAAGCCAGCGCCAAAGTCGAGTCGTCGTCGCCTCGGGGATGGCTTGGGGGATGTGCGGCTCGAGTCGTGCGTGTGGTGTGACGACTGAGCGGCGGGCGACGAGAGCACGGCGAGCGGCGGAGGCGGAGAAGCCGTGAGGGAGGCCGAGGAAGGAGAAGGCGGTGGGAGGCGGGTCCTGAGGAGTAGGGAGAGGGGCGGGGAAGCCAGCAAGGTCGGCGAGGGGAAGATAATAACGCAGAAGAGGGTGAGCAGCCACAAACAGAAGCCAGTCGTGCCGAGCGGCGAGGAGACCGGATGAGAAGCGAGGAGGCGAGGTCGGGAGATAGCGTGTGTAGAGTCCGGGTGGGCAGTTGTTGGAGACGCGATGATGGTCGTACAGTTGAGCGATGGTTCTGATCTTGGTGAGCGAGCCTGCGGAGCAGAAGAGAGAGGGAGGAAGAGACAAAAGAGAGGCGGTGGGAGCGGGTCCAAGCCGGTACAGAGACACAACGAAAGGCGAAGAGCGTAGTGCAGCGAGGGTACGCGACCAGAGACGATTTTTTGTGCTTGTTTTTGAGGTGCGGAAGACGGTCCATGGAGTCCAGGCAGATGAGGAGGAGGAAGGCGAGGACGAGTCGGGTTGTCGAGGCGAGAGGGTGCGATCGCGGGAAGCGAGCGCGAGGTCGAGGTAGAGGGAGGGAGTTGCCGTGTAGATCGAGTCGAGGAAAGCGAGCGAGTTGGCGCAGTCGAGGTCGAGAGGGTTGAGAAGGCCGAGTCCTCCTTGAGCGACGGGGAGGAAGACGGTGTCCTTCTTCACGGCGTGGTGGTGCGAGGCGCCACCCCAGACGAAGTCGAGGAGCAGGGACGCGAGAGAGTTGAGGAAAGAGGGCGGAGCGGGCCAGTAGGCGAGCGAGTGGAGCGATGGCGAGAGAAGGTGCGTGTTTGCGTAGACGGCACGAGTGCGCAGCGAAGCGTAGCAGCCACTCGCCGCCTGAGTACGCCTTTGGATCTTGTTGAGGAGGAGGGCGTAGTACGAGTCGGGCGGACCGCCTGGTGCAATGGCGAAACCTGCCCAAGTCGCGAATCCTTCGTTGCCCATGTACTTGAGGCTCGCCTTGATGTTGAGCGGGACGTCAGGATCGTGTCGAGCGAGCGAGCCGATGGCGAGGACCTCAGTCTTGCTCGTGTTGAGGCGGCCATTTGACGCGAGTCGCCAATCTTGTGCCAGCGCCTCGAGTCGCGGGAGGGCGTCCATGATTGCGCCACAAGCTAGTATCGCGTCGTCTGCAAAGGCAAGAGTTGTCGAGATCGAAGGCGAGAGAGGGCGTGGGAGCGTGAGGGCGACTTGGCGGAGAAGAAGGGCGTCGAGGAAAGGCTGGAACGTCAGGATCCACGATGCGCAGGAGAGAGGGTCACCCTGCGGTAGACCGGTGCGTAGTCGTACACCAGGTGAGAGGAAACCGTTGATGTTGTAGCGAGCGCGAAGTGATGAGCCGTCGTAGATCGTGCGGAGCAAGCGGATGAAGCGAGCTGGTGCGCCGAAAGCTTCGTATGTCGCGAAGATCCAGTCGTGAGACACTCGATCGTATGCCTTCTCCTGGTCGAGCGAGAGGAGGACGGCTTTGGGCAGATCGAGGCGGGCGAGCTCGTCGACGAGGAGCTGGAGATGACGGCCTGCGTCTGCGCTGCGTCGCCCTGGTACAAACCCGACCTGCGAGAGAGGGATCGCAAGTGGAAGAAGCGGGTTGAGCCGCTTGACGAGGACACGCCCGAGGATGCGGTAGTCGGCGTCGCGCAGCGAGATCGGGCGGTACGAAGCAAAGGCGGCGGGGTCAAGCCCGGGCTTGCGCTTGATGAGCAGGCGTACGTAGGCAAGGGAGAGGGAAGGAGGGAGAGCGCCATCATCCCAGACGCAGTTGAATGCGTCGGCGAGATCTTGAGCGAGAAGGTCGATGTTCTGCTGGTAGAACTCGTACGGCAGGCCCGACGGCCCGGGACTGGACGAGTGAGGTGCGCTGAGGATAGCGGCGCGAACCTCGTCAACCGTGATTGCGTCGCCGAGTCGAGCAGCTTGACCTTCAGGCCAACGACGTCCGAGTCGAGGGTCGCTGTCGGACCGTGACTGGCGAACCGGGGCTAGTAGTACATCTTGAGCTTGTTGTACCACCTGCAAGTCGAAAGCATCTGATGAGAAGATCCTTGCGAAGTGACGGTCGACTTGACCGAGCGCCGAGTCGATGTCGAGTGTCGAGCTGCCGTCATCGAGCTGCACTGACGGGAATGTCGAAGCGGTCTGTCGGGATTGTAGGCGAGTTTCGAGGGCGCGGGTCTCGGCAGCAACGCCGTCGACAAGCGGGAGATGCGCACGAAGCGACAACGTTCGTTTTCGGTCGTCCTCAAGAGCTGTGAGCCGTCCTTGCGATGTGGCGTAGTCGAGCTGTTCCTGTGGAGAGAGCGAACCCTTCGCTTCGAGGGATTGGAGGACTCCCTCCGCTTCGAATCGGACTTGACGCCGTTCGGCGGCCCGCCTTCGAGCGTGTTGCCCTGCAAACGACACGATCTCCTTCTTCTTGGCCTCCCAGCGTGCAGAAGGCGAGAGGGTGCTGAGGCGAGGCAAGACTGAAAGGTTGAGATGGAGCGAAAGAGCGGACGAGAAGGTCGGGTCGGAGAATAGGGCGGGCGGAAGGCGCGAGATTGAGGTGGAGGTGGAGGGTAGGGTAGCAAGCGAGTCGATTGGTGCGTGGAGAGTAAGCAAGGCGAATACCGGGCGATGATCGGAAGCTGGCGCATCGTAGCGAACGAAGGCGTCTCGGAGCGAAGAGGCGAGTCGCTCGTCGACGAGGATGTGGTCAATCCTTGACCAAGAGACCACCTTGCCGTGCATCTTGTGAGGTCGAGTGAAGAGGGCGCGGGAGGGATGGCGCCAGCGGAGCGAGTCGACGTGCGGAGCGGGAAGTCGAGCAAGGAGAGCGGGCCAGTACTGAGCTTGCGAGGCGGATTGACCTGGCCGGTCGACTGCTGGCGTTGGGCAGTCGTTAAAGTCGCCTGCGATGACTGAGAGAGAGTCACGGGGGACGGAGAAAGTGAGATTAGCAAAGAAAAGAGCGCGAGGAGCGCCTTGAGCCGGAGCGTAGACGTTGCAGAGCGCCAGCGGAGCGACGCCATGTAGAGGGAGGTTGACAATGAGTAGACGCCCATCTGCGCTTGACGAGGAGTGGGCAGGCGAGGAGAGTAAATTAGCCAGCGACGGCGAAAGCAAGGTGAGAACGTGTTTAGTAGAGAAGGAGATGAAGGGAAACGCTGCGAGGGCTTCTTCGAGGGCCTCGTCGCGTAGATGATGTTCTTGGAGGAAGATGGCTGTGGCTTGAGAGGAGAACTGAGAGAGGTAAGCAAGAATCCGCGCTCGGGCTGCTGGAGAAGCAAGCGTCCGAACGTTCCACGTTGAAGTGAGGATATTCATACTTAGGCAGAAGGAGAAGGAGCAGGAGTAGCAGTAGCAGGAGTAGCAGTAGCAGGAGAAGGAGAGGGGAGCCCAAGACGAGCGGCCACATCCTCGTCATCATCGTCACTATCCTCCTCTAACTCCGTCTGCGTCTCCCCAAGGAAACCGACATCTCCCTCCATCGTCACATCCTCATGTCCGGCCTGAGCAGCCGGTGCGAGGGCGGAAGACAAAGCAGAGGAAGAGGAAGAATCCGAAAGAGAAGACGTGTGCGATTCGTTGGCTGCGCCACGGACCTGAATGTTGATTGGTGTGGTGAGGGGACGCGCACGCTTGTCATTGTGGGCGTCCGAGTCGGCAATCGAGGGGGCGGAGCGAGCCGGACGAGCCGAGGGCGTGACAGGCGTGGTGTCGGCCTTGTCGACGACGATGGCGGGCACGGCGGGCTTGACAGGGGCGTTGTTCTGCGCCTTGGCGGCGTTCTTGCGTTCGCGTGAAGCAGCGCGACGCTCGGACTTGGTCGGGCCGGGCGAGGTGTTGACCTGGGGGTTCGAGTTGATACTCGAGTCCTGCGTTTCCTCGACTGGGAGCGCAGCGTAGCGCGAGTTCGAGCCGAGAGGGACTGTGTTGGCGCTTGTCGCAGCCTTGTTACCGGGGCGAGCGTCGGTCCAGCTCTGCGAGCCAACGACCGGAGTCGGCGACGGAGCTGAGTTCTGGACGGCGCGGGCGCCGTTGTGCTTCTTGCCGGTGGGGTTGGTGCAGGTAGACGCGACGTGGCCAGGCTGGAAGCATGAGGCGCACGGATAGCGAGGGCACTCCTCGGACGAATGTCCTGCGAAGCGGCAGCGCGGGCAGTACTCGCCCTCGAACCCGTGGCGGAAAGGGAGGGTGGTGCCGCAAAGGTTGATGGCGCCAGGGAGCACCTCAGTGAGCTTGGTGCGGTAGCTCCCGTCCTGGTTCTGCCTGACGGATTTGACCTGGGCGTAGACGAGGACTCCGCCTTGGAAGAGCGGGATGGGGCCGAACTTGGACGCCTTGGTGTGGTAGACCTTGGCGACAGCGAGGAGGGCGATGTCGGCGGGCTCGAAAGCGGACTTGATGGCCGCAATCAGGTCCTTGTCGCTCGTGTTGAGATCGCGAAGGTCGATGCGGAACTCGACAACGCTGCGGAGCGAGGCGCCCACCGCGTAGTCGAACATGACGGGGTGATTGTCATGGACGTACGGCTTGTGGAGCGCGTCGCCAAAAGCGCCAGCGTTGCGGAAAGCGACGTCGACGTAGTAGGCGAGGTCGCGACCGTTGCGGGCCGGGCTCGTGCCGGCGAAGCGAGTGCCGGTGACGCCGGAGACGATAGCACCGAGGGACGAGTGCTTCGAGACGTCAATGCCGGGGATGTGAGGGAGGAAAGCGTCGCCGCCGTAGTGCTCAGCGACTTGCTGCTGAACTTGGGCGACGAGCGCGTTCCTCTTGACGCCGGCGCCGTCGACACTTGTAGCCGGGACCGTGAGGCGAATGGTTTTCGCCGGAAGGTCGCGGTCGGGCGTCGTGAAGGCGCGGGCGGCGGTGCGGAGGACGGGGAGGGAGTGGCCCGTCTCGAAGACAACGCGGGCCTTCGAGTGGATAGAAGTGCCATCGACGAACTTGGCAACCTCGTAGTACTCCTCCACAGCCTTGACCATCTCCTCGCGCTTCTCCTCCGTCATGTTGGACCAGAGCGAGTCGGCGAGGTTGGTGGGGGCGGCGGTGGAGCGGGCGGCGGAAGCGTAGGACGGCTGGGCTGGTCCAGTGTGGACCTCCTGGCCGTCAGCGGGGTTCTCAGCAGTAGTAGTAGCCATCGATGAATGTGCAGCGCTCACTCCAGCTCCTCCCCTCCCCACCCCAGCCTCATTTTCCTCCCCCTCTGTTCCTCATCCTGCCCCTCAGTTGTCACCTCCGAAGGCGTCAGAAGCGGCTTGACATCCTCCTCGGATTGGTGCCCTTGCGATGAAGTTCGTGCGTCCGCTAAGGTGCTTGAGGCGCTGGAGAGGCGGGTATGGAGGGCCGGACGTGGCGACCCACCAGGCCCAGACGGCGAGAGCGGCGAGAGCGGCGAAGCTGAAAAAGAAGAAGGAGAGGGCGAAGAAGAGGAAGGACAGGTAGAGGTGGTAGTAGACGAGGGATCTGCGCGCACCCCACAAGTTCCCACATCAGTGGTACACTCAGACAGCAGCACTCGTCGCAGCGTCGAGCGGACGCACCTGAGCCCGGTTGGCTTCACCACGATCCTCAGCCACGACTCGTGCACCTGCAGCTCACGCACCCTTCTCTCCCTTCCGCGCTCGTTCTCCAGTCCCCTCCTCGCCACGACCGCCCGCTCGTCCACATCGTCCTCCCTTACGCCCGCCAAATCGAAAGCCGCATGATGCGGATGTGCGTCTCGCCGGCCGAGCTCCAGCCACACGCTCTTCACTGGTCCAGGTCCTCGAGGCGCACGAGTTGCGCGTCGACGCCTCATCCATCCGAGAGACGACGACTGGACGAGTCAGACGAAGGAGGTGGATTCGAGGAGGGCAATGTCGAGCGTTTGAAGCGGGGCGCAGCGAGAGGGGAGAAGGGAGGACGGGGAGAAGAGAGAAGGTAGACGAGGGACTGGAAGGAGGAGAGATGCCGTGGGATGCCAAAGCCTTGGCAGCAGCGTAAGAGGAGGAGGTCGAGGGAGGAGGAGGTGAGGGGAGGAGCTGAAAGTCGAGGGACCGCAGCTCGAGGGACAGGCGGGAGTCGAGACGGAGGGCGGACGGCGTCAGGAGCTGCGTTCGGCTCTGCATCGTGTCGATTGAGGTGAACTGTCGAGGCAAGAGAGGAGGAAGAGATGGTGGTCGAGGACGGGGTGAGAAGCGGCAGGCGTCGGGCGAGTGGACTGGTGCAGGGACTGTCGCACTCTAAAGCTGTCTCAAAGCACTTTCTAGCCAGTCCTGAGCGAGCGAGGAGTCGCAGTCTCTGCAAACCCTCGCCCGCTTCATCTCTCACTCTGCCAACTCTCGCTGCTACGCTGTGACTGGCTCGAACGGGCTGGGAAAGATTCAGTCGAGCGCCGTGGCTGCTACAATGGCGTTCGCAACCAGCCGCATCCTCCGCTGGCCGGACGAGTCCTCGCCCGTCCCGCCTGAGCTCTGCACCTTCGTCTCTCACTCGCGTCGGCTCAGATATCCAGCTCGAGTGGATCTACAGCCCGCCAAAAAGGGTCAACGGCACGAATTGCCAGGTCGAGATTGACGGGGCGACCGGTGGGCCCATTTTCCTCCTTGTTCTCCTCGCTCGACTCGAAATGATCCCGAATCAATTCGCTCTCGCTCGCGGGAAGTCAACTTTCTGCGCCGTCGAATGATTCGAGGCACTGGGCGCTTGTGCTGTACCACGATCCCACCACCAACTTACACGCTGCCGCCGCGATCCGCCTGTCCTCCCCTTTTCGGACGTTCGCTCCTTGTGTCCGCCTTTGTTTCCGCCTCTCGACGACTGCCAGCACAGGTGCTCACGCTACAGCGCCGGCTCGGCGGCAGTAACGGGGCATGCAGGTGTCAGAGGAGATGCGGTGGAAGAAGATTTGGCCGTGGGGGGCGAGGGGCAAGAAGCGAGCGTCCGCAGAAGGCGAGAGCCGGACGCGAGGGCGACAGCACAAGGGGGCAGTAACACGGGATGCGGAACGACAGCCGCAGACATGCCAAGCGTGTGAACGAGTTCATTCGCGAGACAGTCCGTGTGCCAGGAGAGCAGGGCAGTCCACAGGTGCTGAGGAAGTGCAGCTGCGTTGCGGGGACAGGAGTGTAGATGCGCGGAAAAGCGAGGAGAGCAAAGACCACCGGGCGAGAAGAGCGGATAACTGTTGGCCGGAGGGAGGAAAGCGTAACGGCGAAGCGTACACGAAAGGAACAACAACAGGCGAGTGATGGTACGGCAACACGAGTGTGCGATAGGATGGCGGAGCAATCACAACAAAGGCATCTGCTGGAGGGTCGCGAGACGTCAGCGTGAAGGTGGTGGACAACTCGCAACCCGCGACGCACGAGTCGAGCAGCGTCACCACGACCCCTCCCACCCCTCCCACTGCTCCTGAGCATTCTTCCTCCTCTGCTTAATCTTCTCCAACGCCCCCGCCCTGCTCTTGGAAGCGAGCTCTGCCTCCTCGTCCGTCGACGCCTCGAGCGCCGCCTCCGACCGGGTTAGCCTCCCTCCACCCCTCTTCCCGCCCACGTTCGACGTGAGGGAAGGGCGGTACTCGTCCCTCCTAATCGACGGCTCATAGGTCCTCAAATCCTCTCGCGACGCGGCCGAGACATCCGCGTAGACGACGGCCTCCTCGTCAGACACGACGAAGCCGCTCAGTCCACCAGTCGATCCGCGAGCGCGAGTCGACGCCATCTTGCGTGGTTTGGACGTGCTAGATGAGCGAGAGCGCGCTGGCTCGAACTCGTGGACCTGCGCGGGGAGCAACTCGACGCCGGAATCGAAGGACGAATCCGCCTCGGGCAGCCACTTCTTCTTCGTCTGCGAGTCAGAGTCGGAGCGCTCCGCCGGCTGCTGCAAGCTGTCGCGAGTCTTGTCCTTGCAGGCCGAGCCTCCTGCCTCCCCATGCACCGTCTTCCTCTGCTGCGTCTTAGTGCCAGTCTCCTTGGCAACGTCAGTCGGTGATGCACGCCCGAGCCAAACGAGCGTCCTTGCCGCGCACCTTGCGACCGCAATCCGCCATCTCGCTCGTCGTGTGGGCTCCGAGGGCGAGCAGGCGAGGCAGCGTGCGAAGAGCGTGCGGGGCTGCACGAGCGATACCGAACGGTAGCAGCGAGCGAGCAGAGCACGCTGGTAGCAGCAGACGCCCCACAGCGCGGGCAACGTGAGTGTCCAAAGTACAACCCTGCTCGACTTCATCAGTTCCACACAGACCACAACGCTGCGACGGCAACGACATGCCTTCGCGAGTCCGCGCTAGCTTTTCTGGATGCTCCTAGGACCAGGGGACTCGTCAAGCGTTGTGGCACGCCTGAGTGCGTGGTGTGAGATGAGCCAGGACTTTGGGCTCGAGACGGGGTTGACATTGCTCGATGCGCGTGCGCAGCTGGGCGACGGGCTTGGGTGGCTGCTTCGGGCGGAGCGATAGGACTTTTGAGGAGGTGCGTCTCGTTCTCACTCTCCAAGACGCTTCCCTCGCTGACCTTGTCCCCCTTGTCTCCACCTCGAACTGACTTGCGCTCGACTGGCTGCTACTCGCTGTGCTCTGCTTCTCGCTGCCCTATTACGCAATAAGAAGGGCTGCTACGCACCTGTGCAGCTCAGTCTTGGACGAGAGAACGGGAAAACGCGCAAACGGAGAGAAGAGGAAGAGGAAGAGGAGGTGTTTTCACTTCGCAGGGGCACCCCAGAGGGCTATGCACAAGCCAGGCATAAGAAGAGAGCCTATGTTAGCCCCGGAACTACCTGAACTGTCCCATTGTTCGAGAGGATGCAAGGTGCCAGCGCCCCGCGACGCCTCCTCCCTCCTATCCCGCCTACCCTTCACTCGCTCGCCCACTTGCAGCCAAACGGATCCGAACCATTCTGCAAGGCCTTCAATACTCTGTCTCGGCTTCTAAGACTCACCCAAGCAGCGCCTACCGACCCCCCTCCACACCCCTCTCGCCCCTCTCTCTCCCGCTCACCCCCTCTTTCGCGCGACACGATGGCTCCCCCCGGACGCCCCAACCAGTTCAGCACCGCCGAGTACGACTGGTTCTTTGAACGTTTGATGAAGGGATACAACTTCGACGAGGTGGCCGAGGAGTTCAACATCGTGTTCGCGCCTGAAGGATCAGGCAGGAAGCGTGAGTTCCCCTCCTCCTTCCTCACTACTCTCACTAAGGATGCTTTGTATGACCGCAGAAGTGACAAAGGAGACTATCCGCCATGCTTGGGACGCACAGATGAAGAAGCCGTCGTTCAAGTACTACAGTCAGAGTGCGCCGGAAAGGCCTGTCGCCTACCTAGAGGAGGCTGACGTGGAAAGTTGACAGAGGCGGCCCTCAAGGCTCTCTCCCCCAAGCGTCGTTCCACCGGCATCAAAAAGGCCAGGGCGGCGAGTGTCGTCGTCAGCGCGAGGAACGCGGTGCGTTCACTGCTCATCTGATCTACGAGCGAGCCGCCGGAGAGACTGAGAGTCTCTCGAGCACGCGCAGTTCGTCGCCGAGGCGTCCCGCGTCATGCGCGAGGAACTCGACCTCGCGGCCTGTGCCTCCTCCTCTGTCGCGCCTGCCTCGACCTCCCGCTCCATCGCCTCGACGTCGACGGCCTCGGGAGCCTCGATCACTTCCTCTGTCCCGCTCGAGACCATCACCAACCCCGTCGTCGTTTGGGGAATCGACATCTCCGCCCAGGTTCACGTGCCCGAGGCGCAGGAGAAGGAGGCCGAATTGAAGGCGAACAAGGAGGGCAAGTATGTGCGCACCGCTGCTGGGTTGAAGCTCATGAGTGTCTGCGGAGCGGCCTGGATGGTGCGTCCCCGTGTTGCTTCACGCTTCCTTCACGCTTCCTCCCCCTCCCTCACCTTCTCTCCCCTCTCCTCGCTTGCTGACCCGTCCCTCCGGTACCGGTACCTGCAGGCGCACCGGGAGCAGTGTATCCAGTACTACGAGGAGAACCTCGCGCCGAAGGGTTCCGCCGAGAGCTGGATCGACACGACGAAGAAGAAGAAGCCGGACGAGGACAGGCCGGCCGAAGAAGGGGAGGAGTACCTCTGAACGACGATTGAGGGGCTGCCTGTGCTTGCGCTTGTACTGTTGTTGCGGTCTCGCTGTTGTTGTTCGCGCTCCCTTCTGTCCCTCTCGGTGTGTCTTCCCGAATAATGCGTCTGTCACCGCGCCCGCCAGCTTGACGTAGCTTCGTTTGCCTGTCATGAACTCGATTGCCTGTCCCCGAATGCCTGTCCCTTCTCGCTTTCGACTTCTCACTGTCCAGGCTGAATTCGTCCTGCGAGTCGCGCATTGGAGAAGCAGTGAGAACACGGAGCCGAGATTCAGCAGGGAGAGTACAAGGTACACAAGAGAAGAAGGAGAAGTACAAAACGTGCAGTTCGACTAGAAGAGAAGTACAACGCGGGAGAGGAGAACAACGTCGGACGTAAAGGAGAGAAGAACAACAATCGCCGGGGGGG